TTGCCTAACCAACCACCCCAAAATTCTGTGGCTTCTAGCAACAAATATTGATTTCTCCCTCTCTCATCTGCAGTCATTTGGGTTTTTGCTGATCTCAGCTGGGCTCTGCTGGGCTTGGCTCCAGGTCAGGCTGGCTACATGTGTCTTTCATGCTTCTGGACGAGACTGTTTGATGCTAGGGATTTGGATAGGAGCTGCTGCTTCCCTAAATCAACACAGCATTCTCTTCCTAACTGTTTAGGTTCCTGTCATTCAAAGCAGATAGAGTTTATGAAAAAATACAATTTAAAATTTAATGCAAACGCACACCAAAATACAAAACTATTCTTAGCCCAGACTTTCCTACTGCAACTTTGATTGGGACTCTGTTTCAAAAGATGCAATGCACCAATGACTGCCCCACCCTCACTACAGAGATGCACATTCCAAGGGGGACAATTGAAAACATGAGCTCTCTTAAGGCTTAGGCTGGAACTTGCACATTGTCACTTTTGCCTACATTCCACTGGCCCAAACAAATCACATGGAGTAGGGAAATATCAACCACCTCTAGTTGGGGAGAGGGTGGCAGTCACTAAACAGTAATCTAATTTGCCACATAAGTTATGCTATATCCCTCTTTATTTCTCTCTCTCTCTCCTTCTCCCTCTCTCGCTCTCCCTCTCTCCCTTCCTCCCAACCAAACTACCTCTTTCCTCCTCCTTCTTTCTCTACTTCCTTCTTTCCCTCCTTCCTTCCTTCTCTTCTTTCACTTTCTTTCAGCAGATGAGGAAACTAAGGCTCAGAGAAGTCAAATAACTTGTCCAATCAGAGTTATACTCCCAGAAAATGATAGAGCTGGAGTCCAATGAAGTTGAAGTCAAATTTACAAACACCATTTACAAAACAACAAAAATGCCATGTGCTCCAGGCCAGGGGGTTTGGACTTCCCCTGAAGACAATGCAATGCCATTGAAAACTCTTGAGCAAGAAAGAAAACTTGTGGTTAATAAACCTTCCTCCGGTGGCAGCATGCATCCAGTGGTAGGATGCATGGGAGAGGGAGGGAGGAGGGGCCCCCAAGGCAGTCACAAAACCTCAGGCCAGAATTGATAAGGCTGGAGCAATGTCAAAAAAAAAGAAAACAACAGTAAATGTAAAAATCAAATAGAAAAAGACAGAAGTGAGAGACAGGTTGAAGGACATTTTTAAAAGGCTTTTTTCTTTATGGAGTGTTAAAATAAAAATTCATGTTTGTTGCTCAAAATTTAAACAGAAAAATGTGTATAATCCAGACAGAAGTGTTTAAAGTAAAAGTTCCCTCCTCTTCCTCTCTTCAGAGATAAACTCCATTAATAGTCTGTGGTAAATTCTTTCTGCTTTTATGTAAAACTATATAACACATATACATCTACTCATTCTTAATGTTTTTTAAATGTCTTCTGATGAAAGTTTTGTTTCGTTCTTTGCTTTTTATCACATAACAGTATGACAGGGTCAGCTTTACATGTCAGAATATTAAATTGCCTTCATTCTTTTTAATGGCTTTGCCACTTACTAGCTGTGTGGCCTTGCACAAATTGTTTAACCTCTCTGAGACTTGGTGCACTTACTTTGTAAATGGGGATAAAAGTGTACCTGCCACACAGAACTGTTGTGAGGATTGAGTTAATGTATGTATGGTATGTTGTATAGTGTCTGACACATACTAAATGCTCAAAAACTTAGCTTTTATGATTGTTAATAGCTCCATAATTTATTTAACCAGTTCCATACATATGGCCGTGTAGTGTGGTATGTTGTTTGCAAAGATGGCCACAATTCCACCCACTCCTGTATAGATAGATGACTGTTTGCAATATGACTCGATGTTTTTCCAATCAAGAGAAAGAGTCTCTTTCCTCTCTCCTTGAATCTAAGCTGGCATGTGATGGGCTTTGATAATAAAATGTAGTGAAAGTTACCCTATAGCACTTCTAAGCCTAGGCCTCAAGAAGCCTTGCTGCTTTTGTTCTCTTCCTTTCAGAGGCCATCATGGGAGGAAGCCTGAGCTAGCTTTCTGAAGAAGCCACATGGAGGAGACCAAAGCAGTCAAGCCACAGGCCCAGTCAGCAGACAGACCTGTGAATGAGGCCATATATGACCAGTCAACTTGCCAACTTGCTAACTGACTACAAATGGGGAAGGTAAGCCCAGGCAAGACCATGTACAGCAGAAAAGAGCTGTCCCAGCTGAAACATGTCCAAACTGCCAATCCACGCAAACGTAAGCAAATAAACGATTATTGGTTTAAGCCACTCTGTTTTGGAGTGATTTGTTAAGCAGCACTAGAAAGTTGATACCTCTAGAATCTTAGTACAGCGAGTATGGGTGAGTATGGCCCAGGTTGAAATGCAAGCTCCATCTCTGGCATGTGACCTTCGGCATGTCGTATCATCTCTCTGAACCTCAGTTTCCTCATCTGTATAATGGGATACTTTTAGTTCCAACCTCCTCAGGCTGATGTAAGAATTAAATGAGATGTTGAACATATAGTGTGTGGCACAGGGCAAGTACTGTCAACATCTCAACTGGTTGTTGCTGTTGTTGTTGTTTGAAGGAAGTCTAGCCTGGGAGTTGTGATGTAGGGGCCAGGAAGAGTAAGTGTGAAAGATAACTGAGCTGGTCTTTGGAGGCTCCATAACTAGTGGACATTGGAGACTAGGAGCTTCTTGGGATCAGAGACCTACACCAGGCTGCCCTGGGAGTTGGCAGGGGTTGGGTCTCAACTGTGTCCTGCATTGTACTAAGGGTTGTATGTGAATTGCTTGGGTGAGCCCTCTGAATAAGGTCATGGAGGCTGGAATTAAGTGGAAGCATAAAGAATAACACTGTAGGAAACACTGAGACCATAGGAAAGGTGTAGGGCTAAGCCTTGGGAAATACTCTCCTTCTCAGATGAAATCCCAGACTCCTTACCATGGCCTGAATGCCCTGACCATCTCTCCCACCATTTTTCCTACCTTCTCCACCTCATTCACAGTGCTTCAGCCATCCTGGCCTCCTTCTTCAAACTTATCAAGCTCTTTCCTGCCCCAGGACATTCGTTCTTACTGTTCCCTTCTCAGAGCGACCATCTGAACCACTCAAACTAAAGTTTTTATTCTTTCTATAGCACTTACTGCTACCTGAAATTGTCATTTATTTATTTGTTTACCTGTGCATTATTTGTTTCTCACTTTAGAAGGTGAGCTCCATAAGGAACTGCTATCTGCCTTGCTCATAACACATCCCCAGCACTTAACACAGTATTTGGCTCATAGCAAGTGATTAATAGCTGTAAACTGAATAAATGTGAACAAAATTGGGGAAAAGGAGCCATGAGAGCCAAAACTACATGGTCCAAGAGCTAAGTGGAAGGCCAGACATTTCTTGAAAGAAGGCTTCAGGGAAACCGTAGGATCATCTTATCTAACCTCTTCAGTCCATAGGTGGGGAAAAGGAGGCCCAGAGAGGAGGAATGACCAGCCTGAGGGCACCAAGAGAACCATTACTGTGGATTCCCAGCCTGTTGGGATCAGATGCCACAGACCTGTCTCACAGATGAGGCTAAGGAAAGGTCAAGGCCACCTCCTTGAGGCCATCACTGTGTCTGCAGCAGCCACCCTCCCCCATCTCTCCCGGGAGGAAATTGTCTCTTTGGGAGCAAAGGTGCCAGTCAGCTGACAAACTGCCAAAAGAGGGCTGGAGAGGGTGGAGGAGGCCCATCTCTGAGCCAGGCAGCTACTCTGAGGCAGCTTGAGGATAATAGCTGGTACCAAAATAACCCTACCTCTTCACCTCATCCTTGTTCCAGCCCTCACACCTATGTCCCATCAGAGGTAAGGCTAACACTTGAATTTCTCTCAGTAACAATTACATACACCAGCTTTTACTAGGGCCTTCAGGGACAGGATGATCATAAGACTCAAAGCAGTCCATTGGGGACTCTGATGAAAGAGACAGGCTAGGGACCAGTCAGGCTGCTGAGTGATGGTACCTAGGTCTGTGGGAGCTCAAGAGAGGAAAGATCCCCAGAGGAGAGGACTCCTGAATTACTTCGATGGGCATACAGAAGTTAGCCAGTCCGGGAGGTGACATTAACATAAAGAATCGTCAGAGCGAGGCAGGGAGGCAACACGAATATTTCCCGGGAATAATCTGCAGTTTTATTGGGTGGGAGCAGCAGGGATTTAGGGCGGGAGGGCAGAATGGGGGGCAGAAGGGGGTAGTGCGTTGTCCAAACTATGTAGGAACTTGGATGTCAAGAGGAGAGCTTGAGTACAAAGAGCCTTGAGAGATTTTTAACCAAGAAGACGCCATGATCAGGTTTGCTCGGTAGAAAAAATGCCCGCTGGGTGCTTTAGGGAGGTTACCCGGGCAAGGACAAGGGCGGTGCAGACCCTAGGGAGAAATTATTCTAGATGGGCAGCTCTAGATAGGACATCTGTAGGAGACAGGAACTGGGTTTCAGACTCTAGAGAGCTAGTATCGTCACCTCCTCGCCTCCTGTGCCACACCAGTCCCGCGGTCCAACTTTCGTTCCCTTGTTCCGAACTCGAAGTTTGAGCAGAAAAAAATGTGCTGCTGTAACCCTAACCTTAAACGGGGGGTCGGAGCAGGAGACTTCAACTCCCAAACTGCTTCGCTCTACAGCTCTGCGGGTCGCGCATGCTTCTTTTCAAGAAAGGCGGGCCGGTTTGTAGACTGATGGGACTCGTAATCTGAGTGAAGTGCGGGAAACCTAGGGACCGCCATTTTAGCTTGGGTCAAACCAATTGTACACTTAGGGGAAGGTTCGTGTTCTCTCTTTCGTCAGTGCTTAAATGTACTGAAATAAAACACACTTAATTGTTGCAAGTCTCTTTATTATGCTTTACGTCGAAAACTTCTATTTCGCGCCCTAATCCGGAAATGAACCCCAGGTTACAATAGAACATTCCAGCATGGCAGCACTCAGCGCAATTACCATGGGGGCGGAGTCTGAAGTGGTCCCGCCCCGCCTCCTGGTAGGAGGGGGCTTCCGCTTCCGGCAGCGGTGGCTGCAGCCTCGCTCTGGTCCCTGCGGCTGGCGGCCGAGCTGTGTGTCTCCTCCTCCGCCGCCGCCATATTGTCTGTGTGAGGAGAGGGGAGAGCGGCCGCTGCCGCTGCTGCTTCCACCACAGGTACCGTGGGAGCCGCCAAGCGAGGTTGTTCGCGAGTAGAGGTTGGCCCAGGATGAGGCAGCCGGGCGCAGCCGCCCCTTATGCTTCCAGCAAACTCCAGAGCGGCTGGTCTCCTTCCCCTGCCCCCCCCCCCACACACACCGGCCGAGGCCCCTGCAGCCCTTCGGGGAGGCACGGGGCCACCCCCCAACCCGGAGGTGGGAGCAATACTTGGGGACAGAGGCTGATGTGAGGGTGGGAACTAGCTCGAGAGTCCGGTTTATTAGGGGGAAGAGGGCTGCACTGGGGCGGGGACTAGGGGGCAACTTGGAGGAGGGGGTCAACAGAGGGGGAAGGGAGCTTGAGGGGTGGGGCCGCAGGGGGATGCTGGCTACGGATGCCTAGGAGAGTGGTGCCTGCTGGGTAGGGTGGGGTGAACCTTCCCGCGGAGCAGAGCAACTGGAGTCAGGGGCCTTCTGAGGGTCTCTCTGGGCGAGGCTGGGCTTCCCACCTGCAGACTGGGGTGCAAGGTGGAGGGAACCCCGCTTGAGGTCACTGAGGAGAAAGGCAGAAGGGACCACGAAGTGAGGCAGAACGGGTTGGAGTTAAGGGTTGGGAGCCTGGATGGAAAAGGAAAGATATGTAGAATTAAAGGTTGGCTAAAGAATATACATGTTAGTTTGTGACCTTTTGAAAGAGTAGGACTTTTTTGTTTTTTTGTTTTGCAGCGTTGGAACATTTCTAGCTTAGGCAGGTGATGGGTGGAGCTTCTGTAGTTTGTTTTTGGGAAACAAAGTCAGGGTCAGGAGAAGTTCTCGCCTATTGCAATGATGGGAATGAAAGAGTTCTGAAAAGGAGGTGGCAGATTAATTTGAGAAGACTTGATTACCTTTCAGCTGCTACATTCTATGAGAAAGGTGTGCGGGGAGAGGAAATGAAAAGAAAGCTAGAAAGGGAAGATTTTTCTAAGAGTTGGAAGACCTCATTCCATCTAAGGGGTGGCAGTATAGGCCCAGTAGTAAAGAACCAGACTGAGTTCTCAAATATCAGTGCCACTACTGCTTAGTTGTGTGACCTAACCTCTGTAAACCTCAGTTTTCCTGACTGTAAAATGGGGGTGATAATATTCCCTAGATCATAAATTTATGGTGAGGAGTAAAGATAATTTGTGTCAAGTGCTTACCACAGTGCCTGGCCAGGTAGTAAATGCTCAATAGATCTTACTGTCACTATTATTAAAAGGGACTAGCTGGTATACTTGGGGTTCTAACGTTCTAAGTAAAATTTATGGTCGAGAGTCTTACAGTAGGCAAGGCTTCAGAATATTATATTTGTAGTTGCAGTGTTTTTGTGTTGTTGTAAGTCATTTGGCTTAACTGCCTTGGCGGACCTCGGGCTAAAAGATCAGGACTATATCATTTTAAAAAGTTCACCTGCTGTTTTACCTGGGTAGGTTTGTCCTTCTATGACTTGAAATAGATGACTTTCATTTCTATTAGAAGAAGGTATATGACCTGAAGAAAGAATGAAAGAATTGGAAGTTTGCTTAGATTGATTTAGTAACTAATTACAAAGTTAGGTCACTCTGGAGAAACTTTTTTTGTTATTATTTTCATTTTTTTTTTTTAAGTGCCAGTATAGGTCCATTATGTCCTCTTCTACTGAATACAGTAGAGGAGAGAAGCACACATTTAAGGGATAGCATTGGGTTACTTTCTGTGGAATGGTTTAGTTTCCTTGCTGTTTGGGGATGAAACAAATGGCAGCTTCTTTTCTACAATGCATTTTTAAGCCTTTCTTGTTGCCTAGCCCTTCTCTTCCTGGTGAATCCTTGATTTTACTATTGTCTCTATCTCTGAACATACACCTTTACTTCACAACTCTTGAAGAAAGAAATTTTCTTCAGGAACTGAGTTTAAAGCCTTACATACTGTTGGGTTTAGAGAAGACAGAATGGCCCCCCACCCTCCAAAAAGATGTCCATACTCTAATCCATAGAATCTTTAAATATGTTAAATGGTAAAAGAGACTTTGCAGATATAATTAGGGTTAAGAATCTTAAAATAGGAAGATTGGCCTGGATTTTGTAGATAGGCCCAATCTAATTACATGACCCCTTACAAGCAGAGAAATTTCTCCAGCTGAGAGATGGGGCAAAGGGGAAATAAGAGCTTTGAATCGTGAGAGGGATTCCATTTGCTGTTGCTAGAAGGGGCCACATGGAAAGCATGAGAAGGAATGCTGGCAGCCTATAGTAACAAAGACCTGCCCCGGCTGACAGCAAGGAAGTGGAGATCTCAGTCCTACAGCCATAAGGAACTGAATTTGGCCAACAGCCTGAATGAGCTTGGACATGAATTCTTCCCCAGAGTTCCCAGCAAGGAATACACCTTGATTTTGACCTTGCAATACCCTAAGCAGAAGACATAGGCAAACCCACTCAACTTCTCACCTACAGAAACTGAGATAATTTCTGTTGTTTTGAGCCATTATGTTTGTGGTAATTTGTTATGGCAGCAATAGAACACTAGACTAGTATAGATTTTGGTACTAGGAGTTGGGTGCTGTTATCTAAAAATGTGAAAGTGGCAGTGGAGGCCAGAAAAACTGAGTGTTTTTCAGAGAAGGCCTACAACAGATTGTTAGTAGAAATATGGATGTTAATGACTGCTAAGGAGGGCTTGGATGGAAGTGAAGTATGCATTGGAAAATGGAAAAGACTATCCTTGTTACATAGTGACAAGCTTAGAATTGGGTCCTGTGGTTATGTGGAAAAGATAATTTATAAATGACAAACTTGTATATTTGGCTGAGATTTCCAAGTGCACCCTGGTTTGTTTGTGGATGTAACTAATGGAGTGAAATGAACTCTTGTGAAATTCAGATAAAGTGTACTAGGTTCTCGAGGATTTTATACTAATAGAAATAATGCCAGCTTGAGTTGAAAGAGACAGTAGGAAGTTAAGGAGGGCTCTTGAACCCCATAAATTCTACTGGCTGGAAGCAGGCTGGTAAAACTACTCAGGCGTGAATGTGCTGCTTTTCATTTAAAAAAAAAAAAAAAAGTGACTCAAGAAAAAGAGCCCAGGGAAGTGCATCTGAAAGCCACAGAGGATTTTTCCCTGGCCATGAAATGGAATGGAGTTTGCTCAGATTTTGAAATTGCTTTGGACCGATGAATATGTTTTACATTTTTCCTGCTTGGACCGGAATGTCTATAACTGTTGCCCTATGCTTGTCCCACCATTGCATGTTGGGAACTGATAATTTTTTTTTTTTTTTTAAGGAATTGTGCCTCAGGGGTTGTAGTTAATGTATTACACCCAGAGCCTCATCCACACCTGATTTAGTGGTGAGATTTGGGACTTTTGATGAGCTTTAGATGAGATTTTTGGATTTTGAATTGAGAGGTCAGAGGATGGGCTTTGGTAGATAGAATGACTCTGATGTCCATACCCTAATCCCTGAAATCTGAATTAAGTAGTGTTGGGCTGTAAAGGAACTTTGCAGATAGGAAATTATCTTATTGCAGATTATCCTAGATTTTCTAGGTGGGTCCCATCTAATCCCGTGAAAGCTGAGAACTTTCTCCAGCTGGAATCAGATCGATTTGAGACATGAAAGGGACTTAGCCTACAGGGGGCCACATGTAAAGTGTGAGAAGGAATGTGGGCAGCCCCAGCTGACAGCCACCAAGGAAATGGGAACCTCAGTCCTACAACCGAAAGGAACTAAATTCAGTCAGCAAATTTGAATGGAAGCAGATTTCTCCATTTCCAGCAAGGAACTCAGCCCAGTGGACACCTTGATTTTTGGCCTTGCAAGAACCTAAGTAGAGGACCCACTCACCCAAGCTCACCTGACTTCTGATCTATAGAAACTGTGAGATAATAAATTTGTATTGTTTTATGTTTGTGATAATTTGGCAACAACAGAAAACTAATAGGGATTTTGCTGATTTTGTTTAAGAATCTTGGGATTATTTTCTAGAGAACAAAGGCAGCAAAGATTATTCTATAAAGTGATTTGGCCTTTGGAAGACTTTGTAGAATAACATTGAGTGGAACCTATGCCTCTTCCTTGATGTTTAAATAACCTGTTACTGTCCTTTATATGCAATTTGAAGGAGTGCTAGATGACCAGCTTGGTAAAATGTAGATGCTAGAGCTAGAGGCCGTTTCAGTAGGATTTCTATAAATTGATGATTCTTCCATGCCTATAATAAACATCTTCAATAAATGACATAATTTCTTCATTAAATTTTATTGGCTGAAAAAGCAATGCATTTATGTGACAACCTTTTGAAGACTTATTTCCTATTTTTTAAAGGAGATATAAATGGGTGATGTGTTTTTACCTATATACAGTGGTTTATCTGTTCTTTCACACTTCTTATCCCAATCCAAAGATGCTGTAAGGTCTTTTTTCCCTGTCATCATCATTTGAGGTTAAGAGTCAGATTTTGGAATCATAAATGCAGAACGAGTTCTAGCTTTTAAGAAAAGCTTTTTTGTTCTTCAACAGAATTCTAGTGATTAGATTCCTAAAAGGTGGACTCTCACTTTTAAGGAGACCTCAGCGGGTAGAGGAAATGAGACTGTCCTTTTTTGAGTTCGTTACCTGATTAATGATTACAAACAGCATTTCAGGGTATGAGTGACATTTGAGATTATCTGTTTGACTTTTGGGTTTAAAAATAAAGGAAATGGGCCACATGAAGGTTAAGTGGCTCGGTCAAGTATCTCAGCGTTAGAACTGGCCTAGAATCCTGGTCCAGGCATGGGAGATTCATAGCTTTTGAACTACAGCAGGTCTTCAAATAACATCCTTTCATTAGAAGGTTAATGAGAGGCCATAGGAATTTAATTCTTGTTTATATCAATTAGCCTATGGTAAAATTGGTTTTGTTATATGTCGTTTCACTTAAAGTTGCAGAACCTATAGACAATGTTAAGTGAGGATTTACTGTGTATTTCCTGTGCACCCCTGCCTTGCCCTTTTTCTAGATTTTACCTTGGTCA